GCCCCGCCGCCCTTACCTGCGGCCCCGTCACCTGCTGCCCAGCCGTGCCGCCCTGCAGCAGCACAGCCGAGCCGCCCAGCAGCCGAGCCGCCGAGCCGCCCAGCAGCCGAGCTGCCCAGCAGCCGAGCCGCCCAGCAGCCGAGCCGCCCAGCGGCCGCGCCGCCCAGCAGCCGAGCCGCCCAGCAGCGGAGCCGCCGAGCCGCCGGGCCGCCCAGCAGCTGAGCCGCCGAGCTGCCGCGCCGCCCTCCTTCAGGGCCGCCCGACCTGCCCAGTCTGGTGAGCACAGCGCCTTTTCACTGCACTGTCCTCACCCTACTGTTTGCGCTGCTAGTCGTCTAGGGTCATGGCTACCCCTAGTGTTCTCGCCTTTGACGCTGAGGGTAGGGCCATTGACTTTGAGGTCTGGGTAGATGACCTGCAGCTGTTCTTACAGTGCGATAGGGCAGACGGCCTCTCTCTCTTTGACCTCACCTCTGGCACCTCCACTGCCCCTACTGCTGATGCTGACGCCACTGTTCGCTCCCAGTGGGCCACGCGCGACGCTGCTGCACGTCTTGCTGTGCGTCGCCACCTCCCTACCTCCGAGCGTGCGCACTTTAGTCAGTACAAGAGTGCTCAGACCTTGTACGACGCTGTAGTTGCGCGCTACTCCTCCCCTGCCACTGCTGCACTGAGCCGTCTCATGCTACCGTACCTCTTTCCTGATCTTGCTGCCTTTCCCACAGTCACTGACCTCATTACGCACCTCCGCACTAGTGACACTCGCTACCGCGCTGCACTCCCTCCTGACTTCTGCGCCAGGAACCCCCCCCCCCATGTACATCACTCTTTACTACATAGTCACTCGCCTTCCTGACTCCCTTCGCGTAGTCAGGGACCACTTTCTCTCTGTCTGTCCCACCACTCTCACTGTTGACCTCCTCGAGAAGTCCCTCCTAGCGGCCGAGAAGAGCATAGTCGCTGTAGGGGCCTCTCGTGGTGACCCGCGCACCCCCATCTTTGAGGGGTGTTCCCCCTCCCCCCTTCTGCCCTCTGTTGCCTCTGCTGCTGCGGCCGACCTCCTTGTTCTTGAGTCGGTCGGTGCGGCGTCTGCCCCTAGCGGGAGACGCCGCTCTGGCAAGGGCAAGGGGGGCAAGGGCGCTGGAGGAGCGAGCGGGGGCGGTGGAGGTGGAGGTGGCGGCAGTTGGGGGAGTGGGGGTGGCGGTGGGAGTGGAGGTGGGGGTGGAGGGGTCGGTGGCGGCAGTGGAGGTGGAGGTGGCGGCGGCGGTGGCGGTGGGAGCGGAGGTGGCGGAGGTGGCGGAGGTGGAGGCGGCGGCGGAGGCGGAGGCGGCGGCAGTAGCGGAGGCGGCGGAGGCGTCGGAGGCGGCGGGGGTGGCGGTGGTGCTGGTCGCGGGTCTTCGCAGAGGAGTGGCTCCGGTGGTGGCTCGCGCCAGCAGCAGCAGCGTGGTCGTGACACCCTGTCCCCTCAGCAGCTTCGTGAGTGGTATACTGCGCGTCAGCGGGGTGGGGGTTTTGGTCCGTGCTCCTACGTTTTGCGCACTGGCGACCGTGCGGGTGAGCAGTGTGGGGGTGCCCACCCCACCCAGCGCTGCTTTGGCCGCCTGACGGACGCGTGGCGTCACCAGTTCCCGGAGGCCTCCGAGATCCCTCGCTGGGGCGAGCTGTCTAGGGCGGGTGTTGCCATCTATGATCTTGACTTTGATGCTATTCTCTCTGCCATGTATGCTGTGTCTATTAGTGATGAGGGTGACTGTTACCGGTGTTTCCCGCCCGATCCGGGCATTGAGACTGCTGCTCTAGGTCCTGGTGAGGCTGCTGCCCTAGGTGCTTGCGACGCTGCTGCTCTAGGTGCTCGTGTGTCTGCGTCCTCAGGTACTGGTGAGTCTGCGCTCTCAGGTACTGCGTCGGCTTCGGCCTCCCTCACCTTCACCCTTGACTCTGGGGCGTCTCGCTCCTTCTTTCGGGACCGCACCACACTCACACCGCTGAGTCGACCGGTTGCAGTGTCTCTGGCTGACCCCTCTGGGGGTCCTGTCCTGTCTCGCTTCTCCACAGTCCTCCCGTGTCCGGCGGCTCCCTCTGGCACCCTGTCTGGTCTCTACCTCCCCTCGTTCTCTACGAACCTGGTGAGTGGTGCTGACCTACAGGATGCGGGGGTCCACCAGTTCACTCCTGCACGTCAGAGAGTGACCCACTGTACAGAGGCTGGCACAGGCCGACACCTGGATACGTTCACCCGTCAGCCGGGGTCGAGCCTGTACACTCTGACCACTGCGTCTCCTCCAGTTGCTGAGTCTGGTAGGGTAGTTCCGTCGGGTCAGGTGTTTGCTGCGGCGTCCAGGTCTGGTCCTGAGTCTGCCCCCTGTTCGTGTCGTCTCCTGTCTCACGAGACTCTCCTCTGGCACCACCGCCTTGGCCACCCCTCTCTGCTTCGGCTCAGAGGTATGGCCTCCCGTCTTCTTGTGTCCGGTCTCCCCCGGTCCCTCCCTCCCCTTCCTCAGGGCCCTGGCCCTGCCTGTGTCCCCTGTGTCGAGGGGCGCCTGCGTGCTGCCCCTCACTCCTCCCAGTTTCCTCCGACAGAGGCCCCGTTGCAGACACTTCACATGGACGTGTGGGGCCCAGCCCGCGTCCGTGGACAGGGTCACGAGCGCTACTTCCTGCTCGTTGTTGACGAATACTCGCGTTACACCACAGTCTTCCCCTTGCGCAGCAAGGGTGATGTCACTGAGGTGCTGATCGACTGGATCCGCGCAGCTCGTCTCCAGCTCAGGCAGAGCTTCGGCTCGGACTTTCCTGTTCTGCGTCTGCACTCGGACAGAGGCGGAGAGTTCTCCTCTGGCCTTCTGCGTGCCTACTGTCGTGCACGGGGCATCCGTCAGACCTTCACGCTTCCGGACTCACCGCAGCAAAATGGGATTGCTGAGCGCCGCATTGGCATGGTCATGGACGTCGCTCGTACGTCTATGATGCATGCGGCTGCCCCCCATTTTCTGTGGCCGTTTGCAGTGAGGTACGCGGCGCATCAGATCAACCTCCACCCCAGGGTCTCCAGGCCTGAGACCTCCCCAGCCTTGCTGTGGACGGGGAAGGTTGGCGATGCGTCGGCGTTCCGGGTCTGGGGATCTCGGGCGTTTGTCCGCGACCTGTCTGCGGACAAACTATCCCCTCGTGCTGCTCCTTGCGTCTTCCTGGGGTTCCCCCCTGACGCGCCTGGGTGGCAGTTTTACCACCCCACCTCTCGCCGTATTCTGTCCTCCCAGGACGTCACGTTTGACGAGTCGGTCCCCTACTACCGCCTCTTCCCCTACCGCACTCCGTCCCTCCCCCCACCCCCACTCTTCCTGGTACCAGGTCCCCCCCAGGTAGACCCCCTCCCCCCTCAGGGTCCTGCCCCTTCAGGTGTGTCCCAGGTAGACGCAGTCGAGCCTGTCGAGGTCACTGGTGACTCTGGTGCTGCTGAGGGTGCTGAGGCTGGGGGTGCTGTACCTGGGGGTGCGGAGCCTAGGGGTGCTGGGCCTGGGGGTGCTACGTCTGGGGGTACTGAGCCTAGGGGTGCTGAGCCTGGGGGTGCTGAGCCTAGGGGTGCTGAGCCTGGGGGTGCTGAGCCTGGGGGTGCTGAGCCTAGGGGTGCTGAGCCTGGGGGTGCTGAGCCTAGGGGTGCTACGTCTGGGGGTGCTGAGCCTAGGGGTGCTACGCCTTGGGGTGCTGAGCCTGGAGGTTCTCCGAGTGCTTCGTCTCGCCGGGAGCCACTTTCTCCACAGGAGCTGCGTGAGTGGTTTGCCCGGCGCTGGAGGCGTGCTGCTGGTGCTGGAGGTCCTTTGGCTGCTGAGGGTGCTGCGGTCGCGGGTCCCGGAGGTGCTCGTCCTGGGTGCACTGGAGCTGGTGCTGCTGAGGGTGCTGGCGCTGAGACTACCGCTGGCAGTCCTACTGGGGGTGCTCCTGGTGCTGCTGGAGGTTCTGGAGCTACTGGTGGTGCTGCTGGAGCGGGTGCTCCTGCTGAGGGTTCTGGTGCTGTCCCTGCTGCTTCTAGCGTCGCCGCGCGGCCTCGACCGTACTTCGTTCCACTCCTGCAGCAGGTTCTTGGTCTTCCACCTTCTACTGGTCCTCCTCCTCCCTTAGAGTGTCCAGAGCCTGTCTCGTCCCAGCTACAGTTGCAGCCTACCTCCCCTTTGCCTGCTCCTTCTCCCTACACTGGTCCTACTGGAGGTCTGGCTGAGCGTCGTGAGCCTGCGTCTCGCCCTGCGTCGCCTGTCCGTGCTGCTCGCACTAGTGGTCGCGGTTCGCGTCAGCGTCCTCCTCCTGTCCCTGGCACGCACCGGATGTCTCTGCGTCCGTCCACTGCTCCTCTGCGTGCCCCTTTGCCTTCTCCTCCTGAGTCCTCTCTTCCTGCTCTTGCCGACCCGGAGTCGGACTCTCTTTGTGCTGCCAGTCCTACTGTCACGCGTCTCCTTGCTACTGTTGTCACTGACCCTTCTTTCGAGTCTACTGCTGCGTCTGCTCTCGTTACTGAGCTCGTCGACTTTGCTGCTCGCTGTCGCTTAGACTACGCTGCTAGTCTTGTCGCTGAGTCTGAGTCTGTCTGTCCTCCGTCCGTCGGGGGTGAGTGTGCCCTTGGCACGGACGTCCTTGAGGACAGGCAGGAGGAGTTCCAGTGTCTGGCAGCTGCCTCACCTCATCTCGTGTCCGTACTGCTTACCCCTGAGGGAGACCCGGATGCACTTGACATCCCGACTCCGCGCTCTTACGCGGAGGCGATAGAGGGTCCCTACTCCTCTCAGTGGCAGGCAGCTATGGATGCAGAGATGGCTTCCTGGAAGTCCACAGGCACCTACGTTGACGCTGTCCCCCCTCCTGGGGCGAACATCGTCAGTGGCATGTGGATCTTCAGGGTGAAGCGGCCGCCGGGTTCTCCGCCTGTCTTCAAGGCGCGTTACGTCGCTCGTGGCTTCAGTCAGCGGCAGGGAGTTGACTACTTTCAGACCTTCTCCCCCACCCCGAAGATGACCACTCTTCGGGTACTGCTGCACGTTGCTGCTCACCGTGACTACGAGCTGCACTCTCTTGACTTCAGCACAGCTTTCTTGCAGGGCAGCCTGCACGAGGAGATCTGGCTGCGTCGCCCACCTGGCTTCACTGGGTCTTTCCCTTCTGGTACCCAGTGGAGTCTCCGGCGTCCAGTCTACGGTCTCCGCCAGGCGCCACGTGAGTGGCACGACACACTGAGGACTACACTTGCGGCTCTTGGGTTTGCTCCTTCTACTGCCGACCCGTCGCTGTTTCTACGCACCGACACCTCTCTGCCGCCGTTCTACATCCTCGTGTACATCGACGACTTGGTCTTTGCCACAGCTGACACTGCTGGACTCGCCTACGTGAAGTCCGAGCTGCAGAAGAGACACATGTGCACAGACCTGGGTGAACTGCGCAGCTACCTTGGCTTGCAGATCACCCGGGACAGAGCACGCCGCACCATTACCCTGACTCAGTCACACATGGTGCAGCAGGTCCTTCAGCGCTTCGGCTTCACGTACTCCTCGCCTCAGGCCACTCCTCTGTCTACTCGCCACTCGCTCTCAGCTCTGCCTTCGGATGAGTCCGTAGAGTCGAGTGGCCCGTACCCAGAGCTTGTTGGCTGCCTCATGTACCTGATGACCTGCACACGACCTGACCTTGCATACCCTCTTAGCATTCTTGCACGCTATGTTGCTCCTGGGAGACACAGACCAGAGCACATGGCTGCAGCGAAGAGGGTGTTGCGCTACTTGTGCAGTACGTCGGGCATGGGGCTAGTGCTTGGAGGGCGGAGTCCAGTGGTCCTCACTGGGCACGCGGACGCTTCTTGGGCTGACGACCAGGCTACGCAGCGGTCGTCACAGGGTTACACCTTCAGCCTTGGTTCCGGCTCTGTTTCGTGGCGGGCTACTCGCTCGTCTTCTGTTCTTGGCTCGAGTTGTGAGGCTGAGATTTACGCCGGGGCCATGGCTGCACAGGAGCTTCGCTGGCTCACCTACCTGCTGACCGACCTTGGAGAGCCGCCTCGTTCTCCTCCAGTCCTGTACGTAGACAACAAGGCCATGCTGGCCTTGTGTCGAGAGCAGCGACTGGAGCACAGAACAAAGCACATTGCTCTCCGCTACTTCCTTGCTCGTGAGCTACAGCAACGTGGTCAGTTGCGGCTTGCGTACGTGGCCTCTGAGGCCAACACTGCTGATGTCTTCACCAAGGCACTTCCGCCTTGTGATCATCAGCGCTTCTGCACTCAGCTAGGTCTTGTGCCCGTCTTGCCTCACTTGCTCTCCTCTTGACCTTGCCTGTACTCTCACATATATATATACCTGCTCTTGCTTGTCTAGCTTTATATATATATGTGTGTACTCTTGCATGTGAACTGGCCGTGTGGCCTTGACCCTGTGCTCGTACTGTGTGGTGACTTTGTGATCCACCCTGAGCTTGCTTTGCTTTACTTTGCTTGACTGGTCTTGTGACCCCTTGTTCTCCCCCACTTTGCCTATGGGGGTGTGTCAGAAAATTATAGCTTATGCTGTTGTGTAGGCTATAGTGGGGTATTCCATAGGGGGTACAACCAATTAGGGTTTCATATTTGTACTCACTTCATTTCATAGTTCATTCATTCTTGTTCAAATCTTCTCAGTGACCTGGTTTCTTGCAGCATTTGCAGAAGAACCCTTTCTTCTCTTGCGACTCCCCTTCAGTTGCTCCAGCGAAGAACACTAACTTCTCCCTCTTGCTGTTCTTCTCATTGTACAGGTCGATCTCCTGCTCGGAGAGGAGTGTGGCGCAGAGGGCGGACTCGGAAATGGTTGCTCGAGCGCGGAGCAACGACTGACATTGCCACCAATTTGGTCCTAATCCGGAAAGGACCATGCAGACGACGAACATGTCGTCAGGGACGGTTCCGTCACACTTCTTGATATGATCGCGCAAATTGCGGCACCGATTGATATATGGTCCCGCTTTCTCCCCTTGATTCATATTAACCGATGTCAGTTGGCTGAGCAGGCGACTCATGGTAACTGGATCTGTTGCCATGTATGAATTGCGCAGGTGCTCCCAAGACACTTGCGCGGGAGCCCACTCCGTTTTGTAGGAACGGATGCCAAGCTGCTTGACGGGGGAGAGATTTCGGAAAAGAGCAGTATACGCGAGGAGGGACTTGTGGTAGTACTGGTTATTCTCTTGGAGGGTTCCTTCTGTTGGAAAAGGTAAGCTCCCGTCGTAGTACATCCAGATTTGCGCGGTTGTTGCGAGGAGTTCAAACTCGAAGCTCCACGTGTAAAAATCCTTTCCGTCGAATGGGGTTGAGGTCTTCAGCTTTGATGTCAGAACAAATTTTTGTTTGCATGGTTGCAATTGCTTCTGTCTGTGCGCGTTGTTGACTGTCGTGCACAGGAGCTGAAGCTTGACGGTTGTCAAACGTGAAGGATCTCTCGGAGTTGACACGACGGTCTTCTCCTGGAAGAGGTAGTCCAGCAACTCCTATGGCGTAGCTTGAGCCATCGATGCTCATTGCTTGATGGCTTTCAAGAGCGTTGATGCGGGCAACGAGTTGTTCAACGATGGCGGCGCTGACGGAGGTCACCGCTGATGGCGCATTAGTCGTTGCTGGTGGTGGGCCCGGAGAGTCTGCAGTAGCTTTCCCTTCAGGAGCCATAGTGATGCAGACTTGTAACAGGTATTTTATGAATAAGTTCATAAAGAGTTTGTTCTAGGAAGAACTACGGTTACTGGATAGTCAACAGTCACGACCGTTGACTATCTGCGACTGTTGACCTTCGAGTGACTCTCGAGCTGCCGCTTGCTCTATACGAGCTTAATGCAATAGTATGGTAGAAAGAAGAAGTGGTTGGACTAGAAAGGAATGAGAGTACAAGTACCTAACCCTAGAGTAATGTACCCCCTAAAGGCTAACCAACTGTAGCCTACACAAATACAACATATATAATGTTTGACACACCCCCATAGGCTAAGTGGGGGAGAGCAAGCGGTCACAAGACCAGTCAAAGCAAAGCAAAGCAAGACAAGCTCAGGGTGGATCTCAAGGATACCACACAAATTCCGAGCACAAGCAAGTGGTCACAAGACCAGTTCACATGCAGTTTGATAATTTTGCAAGAGGTACAGTGATCACAACCTAGCAAGTGTAAGCATGCAGGTATATATATAGAGATCACAGTACAAGCAGAGTCAAGAAGTGAGCAAGTGAGGGACAGTAGGCACAAGGCCTAGAACAGTACAGAAACGCTGATGATCACAAGGCTGAAGCGCCTTGGTGAACACATCAGCAGTGTTGGCCCGAGTGGCCACGTACGAAAGACGAAGCTGACCACGCTGCTGCAGCTCCCGAGCAAGGAAGTAGCGCAGAGCGATGTGCTTCGTTCTGTGCTCCAGTCTGTGCTCCTGACACAAGGCAAGGGCGGCCTTGTTGTCGACGTACAGCACTGGAGGAGAACGAGGCCGCTCGGCCAGGTCGGTCAGCAGGTAGGTGAGCCAGCGTAACTCCTGTGCAGCCATGGCTGTGGCGTAGATCTCAGCCTCACAACTGGAGCTGAGAACTGAAGACGAGCGAGTAGAACGCCAAGAAACTGAACCACAGCCAAGACTGAAGGTGTAACCCTGAGACGACCGCTGCATAGCCTGGTCGTCAGCCCAAGAAGCGTCTGAGTGCCCAGTGAGGACAACGTCTCTCCGTCCTCCAAGCACAAGCCCCATGCCCGACGTACTGCACAAGTAGCGCAACACCCTCTTAGCGGCATCCATGTGCTCCTTCCGGTGACGGCCAGGAGCGACATAGCGTGCTAGGATGCTAAGAGGGTATGCAAGGTCAGGTCGAGTGCAGGTCATCAGGTACATGAGGCAGCCCACAAGCTCTGGATACGGGCCACTCGGCTCTACGGACTCATCCGAAGGCAGAGCTGAGAGCGAGTGACCGGTAGGCGGAGGAGTGGGCTGAGGCGAGGAGTACGTGAAGCGGAAGCGCTGAAGGACCTGCTGCACCATGTGTGACTGAGTCAAGGTGATGGTGCGCTGTGCTCTGTCCCGGGTGATCCGCAAGCCAAGATAGCTTGTCAGTTCACCCAGGTCTGTGCACGTGTGTCTCTTCTGCAGCTCCGACTTCACGTGGGCGAGTGCCTCAGTGTCAGCAGTAGCAAAGACCAGGTCGTCTACGTACACGAGAACATAGAACGGCGGCAGAGTGGTGTCGGTGCGTAGAAACAGCGACGGGTCAGCAGTGGAAGGAGCAAACCCAAGAGCAGCAAGAGTAGTCCTCAGTGTGTCGTGCCACTCACGGGGTGCCTGGCGGAGACCGTAGACTGGCCGCCGGAGGCTCCACTGGGTACCAGGAGGGAACGACCCAGTGAAGCCAGGTGGGCGGCGCAGCCAGATCTCCTCGTGCAGGCTGCCCTGTAGGAACGCAGTGCTGAAGTCAAGAGAGTGGAGCTCGTAGTCACGCTGAGCGGCGACGTGCAGCAGAACCCGAAGAGTGGTCATCTTCGGAGTCGGGGAGAAGGTCTGGAAGAAGTCAACTCCCTCTCGCTGAGTGAAGCCTCGTGCAACATACCGCGCCTTGAAGACAGGCGGAGAACCCGGTGGCCGCTTCACTCTGAAAATCCACATGCCACTGACGATGTTCGTCCCAGGTGGGGGAACCTCGTCGACGTAGGTGCCTGTGGACTTCCAGGAAGCCAACTCTGCGTCCATGGCTGTCTGCCACTGAGAGGAGTAGGGACCCTCCATCGCCTCTGCGTAAGAGCGTGGGGTCGGGATGTCTGGTGCATCCGGGTCTCCCTCAGGGGCAATCAGCATGGACACGAGATGAGGTAAAGCAGCAGCAAAGCACTAAACTTCTCCTGTCTGTCCTCAAGGACGTCCGTGCCAAGAGCACACTCACCCCCGACGGACGGAGGACAGACAGACTCAGACTCAGCAACAAGGCTAGCGGCGTAGTCTAGACGACAGGCGGCAGCAAAGTCAACAAGCTCAGCGACTAGAGCAGACGCAGCAAAGGACTCAAAGGTAGGGTCAGTGACAACAGTAGCGAGGAAACGCGTGACAGTAGGACTGGCAGCACGAGCAAGGTCTGACGGCGGGTCAGCAACGTCAGGAAGAGAGGACGCAGGAGGAGACGGCAGAGGGACACGCTGTGGAGCAGTGGAAGGACGCAGGGTCATATAGTGAGTGCCAAGGACAGGAGGAGGACGCTGACGCGGAGCACGACGACCAGCGCGGACAGCGCGGACAGGCAACTCTGGACGCGACTCAGGCGAATCTGGACTAGAATCAGGCGACGGAGGACGAGACTCAGGCTCACGACGCTCCGTAAGACTACCCGTCGGCGCAGTGTAAGGAGTAGGACCAGGCAGCGGAGAGGCAGGCTGTAACTGTGACTGCGATTGGACAGGCGGTGGACTCAGTAGGGGAGGAGTAGGACCAGGAGAGGGCGGGAGACCAAGAACCTCCTGAAGGAGCGGAACGTAGTACGGCTGCGGCCGCTCAGCACCTCCAGCTCCAACCCCCTCAGCAGCTCCAGTCCCAGCAGCTCCAGTACCTCCAGTACGAGCACCTCCAGGACCAGCGGCTCCAGCAGCTCCAGCACCAGCAGCACCACCAGCAGCACCAGCACCTCCAGCAGCTCCAGCAGCAGCAGTGCCTCCAGCAGCTCCAGCAGTACCAGCACCAGCAGCACCTCCAGCAGCTCCAGCAGCACCAGCACCAGCAGCACCTCCAGCAGCTCCAGCAGCACCAGCACCAGCAGCACCTCCAGCAGCTCCAGCAGCTCCAGCACCAGCAGCAGCTCCAGCAGCACCAGCACCAGCAGCACCTCCAGCAGCGCCAGCAGCACCGCCAGCAGCAGCAGCAGCAGCTCCAGCAGCTCCAGCAGCACCAGCACCAGTAGCACCTCCAGCAGCGCCAGCAGCACCGCCAGCAGCAGCAGCACCTCCAGCAGCTCCAGCACCAGCAGCACCAGTACCAGCAGTAGCTCCAGCTCCAGGGTCCGCGACACTAGTAGCACCACTCCGGAGACTGCAGCGCCGCGCGTACCACTCTCGGAGCCGCTGGGGAGAGGGCAGCTCCCGCCTAGGAGGGGAAGCACGAGCACCAGCTCCAGCAGCACCCCTAGCTCCAGAAGCACCTCTCCTGAGGCTGCAGTACTGTAAGTACCACTCACGCAGCTGCTGTGAGGAGAGAGCGCCTCCAGGTGTAGCACGCTTAGTCGCAGCACCCTCTGGCTCAGTACCCTTAGACGTAGCACTCCCAGGCTCAGCACCCCCAGACTCAGCACCCC